GATCAATTCTTAATAATGTCTTACTAATCTATTCAAACAGTATTCAAAGCCACTCATAATATTATGTCTTAAAGCCACTTTTTACTTTTTTTTAAATAATATGTTTACATATTTTGAATAGACTTTCATTGATTTAAGTTATAAATAGTATTGTACAAGACAATTATTTGGATAAAAGTGTTTGTATATGTTAACAACCTATAAAGTCATGTTTGGTAAAGTTGAGTTTTCGTTCACTATTTTTAACTTTACTATGTGTGAACTACTCAATTCAATATATTTTTCAAATAAATTTTTAATAGTATAAAAATGTAACTACAGTTATGATAGGAATTATTTTTTTGGCCTGTTTGGAAGAATCAATGATATTGATATTGCCTGTGTTTTGATGTTGTATCAAATAACTATGGAAAACACCAAAAATAATTTTAGTAATTGAATTTATTTTGATTGCCAACCTTAATGATGTATGTTTTTAACTGAATCGACTTCAGTTTATGTAAAGTGAATAATTATGTTATAAATCGTTAATATAACGAATGTAATATGTAAATGTAACCAAAAACCTAATTATATTGATTAGTTATTTTATGATATATGTGATACTATAGATCCTGATATAATTTTCAATATTTTATATAGATCTGTCTATCTGCAATTTGCCTGCAATAGTTACACCTGCGATTTACCTGCGATTTACCTGCGAGTACAAGAAAAAAAAGAAAAACGGTTTTTTTAAGGCCAACCATTTATATTCTTTTGTTACTTTGTTTAATATTTTTTAAGTTTTTTAAAGTTTTTTTCAGCATAGGTACACCTCCATAATGGCGCTGAGGGATCACAATTACGTCATCCCAGCCAATCATGAAGAAGAAGAAGAAGTTGGTGCTCCAAACATCTACCTGCAAGATCATACCTACGCCCAACAGTTGCCTGCAGTTCAGATTCAGGCCCAGCCAGAAGAAGATAGAGAAGCATTAGAAGATGGAGCAGCACCTGATGATGAAGAAGAAGAAGATGAAGCAGTAGAACAAGAAGAAGATGGAGCAGTAGACCAAGAAGATGGAGCAGTAGACCAAGAAGATGGAGCAGTAGAACAAGAAGATGGAGCAGTAGACCAAGAAGATGGAGCAGTAGAACAAGAAGATGGAGCAGTAGAACTTGTTATGCATGCTGAACCAAGAACATACAGAATAATCCCCGGCATTAGACTCAACTCAAAATTTTATGTGGACAATTTGGGATTCAAATATTATCGTAAGAAGTTACTGGTCAATACGATAAATCTAATTTGTGAGCTACGAAAAAATCCCAGAGGTGATTTTATGTGCCATGGTTCAGCATCAATCAGTATTAATGAGAGAGACAACCGGCTTCGTATTGTAACTGATCACAATCATAATCCAGAAGCAATTAACTTGGATGTTCCATTCTTGAGGAATGCACTTGGTGAAAGAGCTGTTGACCGCACAGTTACAACCCCATCAGTTCGCGGTCTTTATAACAGTGAAATAATTAAGTAAGTTAGTTAACTTAATTGTTGTGATGAAATACATAAATTATGCTAAATATGTATTAATTTGTTATACTGTTGTAGACATCCTCAAGCTGCCATAAGCTATACATTCCTCCAGACACAATCCAGAGCAAAAAGAATGAGACAATCAAGGCGCCCACAGTTGCCTCAGAACATCCATGAACTCTCAGAAATGCTGAGCGACCCCCGAAATTCAAATTACGCTTCTACATTCCAAATTCCTTCCTCAGCATTTTTCAATCAAGAATTGATTGTAAATGGAGTAAGTGTAGGTGTAATTTTTGCAAACATTTCTGCAATTGAAAAATACTGTCAAGAGTTGGCTACAGTAGAGATGGTTGGAATAGATGGTACATATAAGACAGTTCCTCAAGTGCCAGGGGACTTGCGATGTTTTCTGACATTTCAAGTACTCTACAAAAGTGTAGTAAGCAATTTATTATGTTGATATTCGTTATTACTTATTACTGTTGTCATAATTGTCTAATATACTGTTATTTACAATTTAGGCATTCCCAATGGTCTATGTCCTTTTGGGGAGTGAGACGGAAGAAACATACTCTGCGTTATTCACTGTCATACGCAATATTCTACCACTGAATTATGACAGAATCCGTTTTGTAACTGATTATGAGCGTGCTCTTATGAATGCTGTCCAGCGAATATTTCCAAACAGTGAATTGCTCTGCTGCTGGTTCCATTTTTCACAGGTACCTAATATAAAACATTTTGTTATGATCATACCTGCCGGGTAAACCTAATAATATTTATTTAAAATTTATATGAATGTCACAGTCAGTTGTTCGATATTGTCACCGAAAAGTTAATGGTGTCTTAAATTTGGTGAAGAGGCATGAAGTGGCAGCTCGTATTTTCAGAATGGTAATTTTGAGTTTTATTTACAAGTAAACATTGTTGTATTTCAATTGTATTTTATATTTCAGGTATTAGCATTGCCTCACCTACCGGCTGAAAGGGGTAATCCCGGGTGCCCTAATTTTTGTATGGAAGATGGGTTTCATACAATTGTCGCGTACACCTTACAGTTTCCTGACATCAGTGAGGTTATGAGTCGTTTTCTGAGGGACTATGTATTTGATTATTGGTTTGTGCAAATTGGTCCACGGCGCCTAAGTGTTTTTGGTCAAGATCACCGGACCAACAATTACTTGGAATCTTTCCATTCAACGTTGCTCACACAAATTGGACGCCACCCTAATATTTGGGATTTTCTTCGTGAGTCGTCATAGTTGCACTTGACCATACTGTGATCTCTATGTTGCATTATCCTATACATGTTTGTGTTATATGTTATATGTGTTATGTGTTTTATGTTTGTGTTGTTAGGTACATGTTTAACATAATCAACAGTGTAAGAACAATTCTTACGAATGAAATTAGTAAGTTCTATCAATATTTGTTTTTAATTTTTAACATAGTATATAGTTTGTTTGCTATTTGCTCTAATTGTTTATTGTTGTCTTGACAAGCTTAACCTGGTGTTGTAAAATCTATTTAATTCCCTTAGTTTTGAATCATTGATACAAATAATTTTAATTTTGAGAAATTTAAATAATTATTACTTAAAATACTTGCTTGTGTGTAAATGTAGCATTATAAATATTAGTTGTGTGGTGAATATTAATTGTGCTTTATAAATGTATCACTTTTATTAGTATATGTAGCATGAAAACAAAATATTGTTTACAATTATTTTTACTGTCAACAATATTATATTATCAATAATTAATTTAAATATTTTTTTTTTTCTAAACAGAAAGACTGATTATTGTTGAAAATCAGTTCTATGTAGAATTTCAACAGCGCACAAATAACCTCACGGTAATAATTATATTTTTTTGAATAAACATGATTTGTTGTATTGATTGTGGTTGAATTATGTCAATTATATTTATTTTTTTAGATTAGAGACGGTACTTCCAGATCTCTAAGAGAAAACGCTACGCGGATCATAAGAGAGTCGGTACAACAACTCAACAGAGACAGTGACCTATTAATGTTTTTGAGGAGGACTGGTCACCGAAATGATGGGTATGTTCAAGAACAGATTGGACCTTATCCCTGAGTATGTTGTAAATACTAAACACTGTAAATATTTGAGTTTAAATTACATTTTCTGCTTATCCACTATAAAAATATTTTACTTAACAATTGTCGGGGGTCTGTATTGTTAAATTTTTATTATTAAATAATGTAATTTATTAAGTTTATTGTTATTGAATTATTGTGTTTATAAAATGTGTTATTATTCAACTGTGTTATTTTATACGTTTGTTAGTATTAGTTTATTGTTATTAGTTAAAAAATTGTAAAATTAAATAAACTACTAACTAGTATACACTGCATATTACATGTTTTTAAATATGATTTAAAAAGAAAAGTTATTTTTATTAATATTGAACTTTAGAGGTCTAGAGGTGACAAATTTAATTTGAAGCATATAATTTTAAGAAATTTATATTGAACGTTTTCTATGATTTTAATATGATTGGTATAACTTAGTGAACAGACAGAGACTGACCCAACACAAGTCTAGATCTAACCAAGAAAAAGTGTATAATATACTTTATATTATATTATTATATTTAACCCTTTCATTCTAATGTGTAAAGAAAAAGACATATTCTGATCAAATAAAATACCTAAATTTTATATATTTAATTTATGTCTATAAAACTACTAGGTACCTATATTTATAAAATACTTAATAAAAACTTAGTATTTCATTAATTTGAATTCAAATGTTCATAATAAGTTTTAATTTCATTAACAGTATACTTATTTACAATAAATATCCCGATTGAGCGTGAGTTAATTAAAATACAAATAAAATAAAATATCAACAAAAAGTTAACCCTTCACTGCATGATTTTTTATTAAGTAATAAAAAAAATGTTTTCTAATAGATTAAAACCTGTAGAATCCATTAAAATTATTAAAAAAATTCAGTTATAAAATGTAAGTACTCAATTTGACTCAATTTTGAAAAATGCATGTGTGCACTTCTATGCACTATCGACAAACAATAATTATTACGTCTCAAATATTGAAATGCATGCATGCACTTCCATGCGTCATTATTATATTATGCAATTTTAAAATTTATATAATATTTATTGATGAAAAGCAATATTATAAAATAAAATTATAAAGTACATGATTATATTTTTTGAACACAAATTAAATTAAAAAAAAAAAATTCTGAAAATAATAAAAAATAATACAAATTCAGTTAGGTATAATGAAATAAATCGAAGCAATTTCTTTCTTTATTACAACATAAAAAAACATCGCATTTAGTACACTTAGCGAATGATTGAAATTTACATTTTGGTAGTTTACATACATTCGAATTTTCTCAAATTGTATTCTGTGTTGATGCCCATCCAAACGTATTTGGGTTGATGGAATAATTGCAGTTGGTGTCCTTTTTTTTCTTTTTTCAAGCTCCTCCAACATTTGTTTTTCCAACGATTCCTTTGTTTTTCTGCCTTTTTTTTTTTATTTCTATTTCTGTTTGACAAAGTTCCACAGCTAATTGCTCTCGAAATTGAGCTAGTTTCATTGGTTTTTTTGTAACTTTTTTATACAACATCCACGCGTTTACAATCGACATATCAACTAAATGGTAAAAAATTTTCATGTACCATTTCTTAGACCTCATTATTATTCTATAGCGCCCAATCATAGAATCCATAAGGTCAACCCCACCCATATGTTTATTGTAAACTTCAATGATTTTCGGCCTAGGTACAATAACGGTGGTCTTTTTTTTTTTGTCAAATCTACTCACTACATTTTTTTCGAGTTCGCCTACAAAAGTTGAGGATACGTGTACTACCTTGTTGTCTTTCCATGCAACAGCTGAAATAGGGACATCTTCAACCACTGTGAAACACTCTTCAGAATATCCACGATCTTTTTTCATCAATAAACGATCATCTGTCAACAGACGTTGGAAAACGATTACGTCTAAATGTGCCAACTGTGTGAATGCCTTTTTTTTCTAGATATATCATAACTGGTAATGAGGTATAGTAATTATCGAAAAATAACTTATGGTGCACGTTTTCCGGTACCATTCTAGTCATTCTCACAACAATGTTGCCTGTAGCTCCAAAATCTGGTTCATGGTGTATAATTCGTTCGTCTTCCTTATTTTCATTTCCCGTGTAAATTTCAAAGTTATAACCGTAGCCAGAAACACCACATAAAACAAATAATTTGTACCCCCATTTATATATTAAATATTATATTATTAAATCTATATTATTATATATTATTAAATCTACCCACTAAAACGTTCAAACATCTAAAACCTGAACCGCAGTTATAGTGATTAATGATTCGTTATCATAATTTACAATCTATGATTATTGATAAAGCGATTTTTGTATGATTTTTTTGATTTTTTGATGATTTTTTGGAGCTATCTATTTAACTACTGGAAAATTCGTTACACCGACTATTCAAATGGAATCTCCATAAAATTCTCTATCGATAAACATAAGGTTTGACCATTTATCGTTCTCCTATGTGGGATTAATCTCATCCACAAACAGACGACCACAAAAGTTCTGAATAGATAGTACATACCTAATATTATAATATACATCTGTCATTTACTAATTAACTATACGTTTATACCTATTGTCCAGCGTCAGTAGATTTAAAGACATGTCATATTATAATATTATAACAAAATACATTTAGTTATAATCATTTTCGAGACGTATACACATCATAAACTTTGATGATTGAAATTTAAAGTTCGTCAATTATATAAACAATTGTTCATGGTTAACACTCTTAATTAGATTTACTATCGATGTGATTATACGAATAGGTAACTACCTACTTCTAGGAAAACTACTGGCATAGAAAGTTGTATGTTGCTGGCGTAATTACCAAATGCGAACTAACGTATGAATATGTAATAGTTTTAAAGTCCAATAAATCATTTATAGGTTGTAGATGACGTTCACATAAGATAATATTATATTTTTATGTTCCCAAACGTTTCGGTTTAGGCCCTTCTAAAACGTACTGCCGGAGCCGGGGGTCCTCGAACACCCCCCCTAGGTGTATTTTTGAAAAGGTTTAGTTTTTGTATGACGTTTCTGAAACTCGAGATCTGTATAGTTTGGAGGTCAATGATCAAATTCGGCGTCTTGTGTCGAGACCATAGGGGCCGTTTTTCTCCGTCTTTTGGGGCTTCGAAAGTTCAAAATTTGGGTTTTTCGGAGTTTTCGTTACTGACACTTAGATTTTGGGCGTTCCGAGACGTTTTTGTAGTCGGGCTTTATAGAGCACTTTAGGCCTGAACGATTGGCACCGATATCGAGGTGATCCGACTTTTAGTTCGGGAGTTATGATTTTTAAAGTGTTTTTTGTACTTAGAAAATTACGTATTTACGTGTTTTTTAGATTTTTTTTTTTCGTTTGATCACTACAAAATTCTAGAACCTGATCATTCGGCGTACGAGGATTCAAAAAACCTCTATGGTCAAAATACGTACGACCATTATTTCGCCCTCAATCGTAGTAGCAAAAAGTTAAAAAACAAATTATGCTATTTTTCGTATTATCAAGGCGTCTCCTTGTGGTATACGTCTGTGTAACGTATCAAGTAATAATTATTTTGAACTTTTTTTCACACTTATTTTAGTAGGCGTGTAGCTCATTATTCATTAATGTAAATCGATAGGTATATAAGAATAAAATATTAAAACCTATAAAATAATAGGTCAATTCACTCTAATATATGTATTTGAGTTATCAACACAAAATTGGATATATATTTTGAAGTACTAGCTCCTTCAATATAAGTCGTATCGTTATGAAACCTTCAAGGAACGAAGCAGTCAACCCTCGAGATCAAATGCATGGTCTCAAAAAAGCCGCTACTCGATTTTAAGTTCGAGAAATTGGCAAAAGAAAATTTCCCGCCAATTTTATTTTTGAAAAAATCAAATTTCGAACTCAACACTCACCCCCTTAATATTTGAGTTTCAATACTTTTAAAAAGTGGAAACTGGTCTAGAGACGCTTCTGCTTCGATCCTAGAAGGTTTTATACAGATATGATTTTTATTGAAGGATTTAGGTTTTGTATAGGTTTTTAAAATTCGTAATATTTCGAAAACCTAAATCATTCAATATAAGTCTTATCGTTATGAAACCTTCGAGGATCGAAGCAGAAGCGTCCCTAGATCATTTGCGAGTTTATAAAAGTTCATTAACTCAAATATTAAGGGGGTAAATGTTGAGGTAAAAATTTAAATTATTCAAAAAAAAAATTGGCGGGAGATTTTCTTTTGCCAATTTCTCGAACTTAAAATCGAGTAGCGGCTTTTTTGAGACCATGCATTTGATCTAGAGGGTTGACTGCTTCGTTCCTTGAAGGTTTCATAACGATACGACTTATATTGAAGGAGCTAGTACTTCAAAATATATATCCAATTTTGTGTTGATAGCTCAAATACATATATTAGAGTGAATTGACCTATTATTTTATAGGTTTTAATATTTTATTCTTATATACCTATCGATTTACATTAATGAATAATGAGCTACACGCCTACTAAAATAAGTGTGAAAAAAAGTTCAAAATAATTATTACTTGATACGTTACACAGACGTATACCACAAGGAGACGCCTTGATAATACGAAAAATAGCATAATTTGTTTTTTAACTTTTTGCTACTACGATTGAGGGCGAAATAATGGTCGTACGTATTTTGAACATAGAGGTTTTTTGAATCCTCGTACGCCGAATGATCAGGTTCTAGAATTTTGTAGTGATCAAACGAAAAAAAAAATCTAAAAAACACGTAAATACGTAATTTTCTAAGTACAAAAAACACTTTAAAAATCATAACTCCCGAACTAAAAGTCGGATCACCTCGATATCGGTGCCAATCGTTCAGGCCTAAAGTGCTCTATAAAGCCCGACTACAAAAACGTCTCGGAACGCCCAAAATCTAAGTGTCAGTAACGAAAACTCCGAAAAACCCAAATTTTGAACTTTCGAAGCCCCAAAAGACGGAGAAAAACGGCCCCTATGGTCTCGACACAAGACGCCGAATTTGATCACCGACCTCCAAACTATACAGATCTCGAGTTTCAGAAACGTCATACAAAAACTAAACCTTTTCAAAAATACACCTAGGGGGGGTGTTCGAGGACCCCCGGCTCCGGCAGTACGTTTTAGAAGGGCCTAAACCGAAACGTTTGGGAACATAAAAATATAATATTATCTTATGTGAACGTCATCTACAACTAATGATTTGTTGAACTTTAAAAACAATTACAGGTACCTAGGTACATATTTATAGAACATTCTGTGCCAGTAGTTTATTACTTTACTAAGTAACTTGTTTAAGTAGTTACCTATTCTTATAATCACATCCATAATAAATCTATTAGTGGTTTAAATATGAACAATTGTTTATATGTATAATTATTAACTGATGAACTTAGGATTTCAATCATCAACATCTCGAAAATGATTAAAATTAAATGCAATTTGTTGTGCATGTATAATACTATAATATGACATGTCTCAAAATCTACTAATAGGACAATAGGTATAGTCAATAAGTAAATGATAGATGATGTTTATTCTATAAAATAGTATTGTAGTATTAGTATATTAGTTGAATATACAAAATAAGTATCTACTCTTTTCAGAACTATTGTGGTCGTCTATTTGTGGATGAGATTAATCCCAGATAGGAGAACGATAAATGGTCAAACCGTATGTTTATCGATAGGGAATTTTATGGAGATTCCATTTAAATGATCGGCTTAACGGATTTTTTTGAAGTTAAATAGATAGCTTCAAAAAACCATTAAAAAATCAAAAAAATCTTACAAAACACGCTTTATCAAAAATCATAGATTATAAGTTATGATAACGGATCATTAATCACTATAACCACGGTTCAGGTTTTATATGGTTACCGTTTCAATTGACAACAATATTGAGGTTATGTTCGTATCTTATATCAATCATAGATAATAAAGATCTTTATTATCTTTATTATCTATGATATCAATAATATTATTGTACGTTAATATTTGAACTCAGTTTTTAATTTTTATTCAATTTATAAAATTTAAAATGTATTAACTATTAATTACTTTTTACTATTTTAAGTAGGTTTTATATAATTAATTAATACGTTCACTACCTGTCCTTGTGCTGTATACAAATCACAAATCTAAACAGGTCACCTTTGAAGTGATTTTTGTAAGTCATACATCGTTTTTGGCTACTAACCTTTTTGTGTATTTTATTTTAAACTACAGTGTAAATATTTCTAGGTAAAATGTATCGACAAAGCATTAAAACCATTGCAAAAAACAAGTTATGCTATCTACAAGCTACAACAATCACATTCAAACCATCATAACTCAAATCATGTAACTATGTAAGTTCTGTAAAGTGTTACAATCCCTATAATGTATTTAGTGGAGGCGTGAATAGCTGTTTACGAGGCAGCTGTCTCATGCAAAAGTGAAGGTGGGTACCCCAATGACTCCAGTCTCAAACACCTAGTTGGCTAGACTAGTTTATAATTTATACTCGCATGGTCTCTTAGGGCCTGCGTTTAAAGTCTGGGAAAAAATAAGTGTAAAATGTGAATAATACTGGTGTATGGTATAGGTACTTATTTAAGGCAGTTGCTTCATAGGAAAAACAGTTTACGCCTCCACTGAATGTATTAGGTACTTATTGGCTATGATACATCTGTAATAACTTAACAAATACACTACAACGACGATTATTTATCTTACACAGTTGCAGTCAGGTGTGGATTGAACACCTGAGGTTTTGTAACTGTTTACTGTTACATTTTAATACATTTTAAAGTCCTGGTAAATGGTGATAGAGTTACTAATTATTAATAACATTAAAAGTTC